GGAAAGGGGGTAGGAGATGCAACAGCAAAGAACAAGAATAAGGAGCATGTCAGAGGCATGAGGTGAGTCCTGGAAAAGGGAAGAATGAGGGAGGGGGAGGCAAACTAGCATAGTGATGGATGCAAGGCATCAACAGCAGAGGTTCTCCAGCAGCAGAAGGAGAACACTCCCACACTCTGCTCCTTGAGGTGGGCTCTGCATGGTACTACTCTTAGGAAAGAAAGAGCTGGGAAAAGGCAAAAGGAGAAAGCCGAATAAAGCTTATTAAAGTAGATACTTACTATGAATCTTCAGATTTTGGGGAAATTTACCAAACAATGGTAAATAAAAAATGATGTCCAAACTGCACACCTATTTGTCTTAAGACTATAGTAGGGAGATTTAGGGGCGTTGCAGACCAGTCTAAAGGGCCGGCCTGGGGATGGAGTTGGGGCAGGGCAGCTGCCCACCGGCCGCCCCAATCCCACCCTAACACCGTCCTCACATCTGTCCGCACGGCGCACGATGTCAGGACGCCCTCCTGGCGCAGCATGTAGACGCACTGCGCCAAAAAGATGTGGAAGAGCCATGGCATCAGCTCTTAGGGTGGCCTTTTGCTGCCCCTAAAAGGAGCGGCATTTTGCTACTCTTTTGGGGGCAGCAAAAGGGAGGATCGGGGCCACAGCGTGAGGTTGCCGCAGCCCCAATCTCCTGCTCCCAGGGGCAGCTCTGTGCCGCCCCAAAAGGCAGGTCTGTAAAGGCCCTTAGACTGCTTATTCACCCATATGCCCTGCTAAGTTAAATTTGCATAGCAGAAGAATAGCACTTAGCCAATGACAAAGTAGAGATTTGAACTTGGTCTCCCTGTTCCAAGTCCAGCACTTTAGACATTATATTATATTGGCTCTCTCATTTAAGTTCTAACTGTAAAAAACGATGTGAAAGTTGAAACATAGTGAAAGGGGAAAAAATGCAACAATTAACATGCCTATTTTGTATAATTAGAATGCAAAACAGAATATTTTTCTGTAATTATATGGTACATAATTATGCATAGTACTTAATTATGCATAATTGGATAGTACATAAAATCCTACAAGATAAGCCTCAAAAAGCAATCTTGATTGTTCCTCTTCCTAGGACAGAAATCATGGGGATCTTCAGGGTTCTGTTTGGGCTTTTTTCTTTTAAACATTTATACCAGTAGCATCCTAGGATTGGTGTTACCTGGTGCAGTAACTCATGGTATCACCGCCCCATTAACCTCCTCCCATTTCACACCATTTAGAATCCTTAGTAATGCTTTTTTTCACTAATGTTACTCATAAATCATAATGCCCATATACCAGTGAATGTAATGCTAATAGTTGTGACATAAACAACTAACAAAACTAAAATTATATCTTCAAATTACAATATCATATGCACAACCTTAATGTATTTACATATACAGTGGTACCTCTACTTACGAAATTAATCCGT